AAAAAAAAACAACCCCACAACCTTTCCCCCCCATAAGTTTTCATAACTGTTTAAAGAGAAACTCTTATTACAGGCTTCAATATAAATCAAAATACTTAAATACTGTTGGTTAAGTGCCGCAGAGTCTGGAGTCAAGTACAACCCATAGTGACCCCATGGATGACAGATCTGAACTCCGTCCTATCCTGTGCCATACTCACACTTCCTGACATACCAGAACCCCTTGCAGTAGTCTCGTGTCTGGGTCAATCCACTTGGTTGAGGGTCTTCCTCTCTTTCCCTGATCCTCCCTCTCCAAGGAATAGTTTCTCCTAGCACCATGCCTGAAGTATGTGGGACAAAGATTTACCATCTTTGCCTACAAGGAACACTCTGGCTATCCTTTCTTCAAGACATTATTTGTTTGGCAGTCCACAAGATAGTCAGTGCTCTTCTCCAACATCCCAGCTCAAAGGCATCAATGATTGTGTCATCCTTATTCACTGTCCAGCTCTCAGCAGTACAGTAAGTGATCAGAAAGACCCGAATTAGACCCACCTTAGTCCTCAAACTGACATCACTGCTCCTCCATAATTTGGAGATGTTCCTACAGACGTTCCCAGTACAATACGTCTCCTGATTTCCTGTCTGCTGGTACCAAGGGTGTTGGTATCTATAATTAAAGACCTAGGGAAGTCTGGTGGCCTAGTGGTAAGAAGCTGTGCTGCAATCTCAGAGGAATGCAGTTCCAATTCATCAGCTGCTCCCTGGGAGAAGGCTGGGCCATCTCCTCCCTTGCAAGTAACTGCGTATGAAAACCTGCCAGAGGGTCTGCTATGGGTTGGTTCTGACTCTACAGCACATTGAAGTATAAATCAAAGTCTCAAATAAATTTGTGCATTTAATATTTAGCACTGTGAATTAAATAGGCAAACTGCCTCGCAGTTTAAAAAGTCACCAAAATGATCTCATTTTATCCCCAGGATTGTCCTGAGGAAGCAATGCTTCCCAGACTTATCTGCTAGGAAAAATGAAGTGGAGAAGTTATTCACAGTCATGCTCCCTCCGCCCGCACTGCTCTATGCAGTGAGAAACCTTCACAAAGGGGCCCTGAGCTTTCTCAAAAAGTTGCCAATAGAAATACCATTTGACCCAGCAATTTCTCTACTGGGAATTTACCCTAAAGAAACCATAACTACTATCCAGGCAGATTTATGCACACCCATGTTTATTGC